CAAGTTCCTCTTGTCGTTCTCACCTCCCTGCCCCGATGGTGGCCCCAGCTGCGCGGCTGCACTAAAACAAGCGGGAAAACTCTGAAAGCCCAGCTTCCGACAGAGGACCCAGAAAAGGGGTCCCCGGGAGCCTGAAAGCGGGGGAGTCTCATGAAGAAGGGAGCTAGAGGATGGATCGCCTAAGTCTGCCGACGAGCCAGCACGTAGGTCCTGGGGCCACTCCTGAGCCGCACGCGCCCAGGACAGACCCCAGGACAGACCCCGGGGCGCCGCAGGGGCGTCGGGGGCGCAGCCCGGGGTGGCGCACGCGCTTGGCGAGCACGAGGTCCTGGCTTCCCTCCCTGGCACCGCCATGAGGTAATAAAGAAACCCAACTAGCCCCCCCAAAAGACCTGAGGAAGTGAGGTTGTTTTTTGAAATTTCCTTTGGGGGGTACAAGGGACAACAGATCTGGGAGTGCCACCCAGAAAGGGCTGTTTTTCAAGTTCTGGCTCCCCCCCAGTCCACCTGTGGTGATAATTTCTGGAATCTTCAAGCAGTTGCCTTTCCCAACAGCCCGAGTCTTCAGCGTTAGTCGGGGTGGGGGTGGGGCCGGGGGGAGTGGCTTGCTCTGTCCTGGCCGGCACAGCGCTGAAAGTACGTAACTTCTCAGCAGGGAAGTTAAGGTTGCTTTTAACTTCTGATAAATACCCTTCATCGTAATAAGGAAGTTTTTATTTCCACTCTAAATATGCCAAGTTTTTTTCAAATTAGTAATAAATTTTGAATCTTACCAAATGCCTTTACAACTTTCAATGATATATTTATGTAGATTTATACAGAAATTATACAGGTATAGATAAATTATACAGACTTAGACAGAAAACTCTTAGTTTTCTTTCTTTAACCTTTTAGCTTCCAAGTGGTTCGATATTTTGGTCATCCTTTTCTGGTTTTATTGAATGGCAGTTGGTGGGCATAATCTGAAAGTCTCTTCCCTTTTAGACCGCACTGAGTTTTGTGTGTGTGTGTGAGAGAGTGTGTGTGTGTGTGTGTGTGTGTGTGTGTGTGTGTGTGAGAGAGTGT